AAGCGCGCGGCTCCGAGGGGAGGGAGACTTGGGGAGGGAGGGCACACTTCGATAAGTGGGCCCTGCTCAGGAATTGAGTGAAGCGGCGTGCAGCCTGGCCCTTCACCCCTTCGCCCCAGCCTCTTTGCAGCGGGTCTGGGCAGACCTTCGACGAGCCTTCGCGGAGCAGCAGGGCTGTCGTCGAAGAGGAGCTGGGGGCACGCAGTCAAGGCCGTTTGCTTCCGGTGGCGTGGGGCCCACACTTGCAGTTCCGGAGTCGAGCTCCGTCCGCGTGACCGAAGGCAGCCTCTCCACCAAGGGGAGGATGTTCCACGGCGGTACATTCCACGGAGGTAGAGTTCAGTTGTCGAGTAGAGTCCCATGAACGAGTAATGGTTGTTGTCGCTCCTCCAGCGCTGCCGCTTCCTCATCATGAGGATGGGCGCGGATTTTGCTCTACTGAGCCCTTTTTTCGATATTTCGCACATCAGTTGCCAGAACCGACAGTTGGTCATGATTGGAATCGCGATACGCTTCATTAACATTTCTTACTGCATGAATGGAGTATGCTCTCTCTCTCTCTCTCTTTCTATCCTTCTCCCTCTCTGCCTTTCGCCTGATGTTCCCTCGACCGCATTATTGCTGTAAATCCCCAACGTATTTAGAGGTATTGCGGTCAAAGCTTCCTGCTGCTCTTGTGATCATCTTTTCTGGCACACTTTTTGGGCCAGAGAAGGGAACGGTATCGATACCGCTACCCTCCTCGCGTTTCTGCTTTTTTCGGCCTCCTGGGAGGGCATTGGCGAGTCCAAAGCATTCGTACTTCATGAATGTGGTGTGCCTACTCAGGCCGGACGTTTCACGGGGGCTGCAGCGCCGCATTTTTACGACCAGCACGTGCCTAGTTTATTGTACTTCAGTTGCTCTGCGCAGGACGCCTTCGTCCCATTGCCGAGACGAAGTCAAATTTGGCGCTCCCGATCGCGGATCGATTCACAAAGGAGGCAAACCGGGCATTTTCGCCTGCGATCTCAGCCACAGCCAGGGACAAACACTGTTGCATCCCTGCGACTCCCCCTCCCCCCCGCTCCGACGTCTCTGCCGCCCTCTCGCGCTCCTCCTCCTCGCCCCTGCTCCTTCTCGCTGCCCAGCGGCTGCCCGGCGTTGTTCATTTGGTACCTGCGCTGGCGATCCCGATCGGATCCCTGGCGGAGGAGGGGGCGGATATGGAGGAGAGGGTCCTTTTGACGTAAAGGGGAGGACGGGGGGCCTGGATCGGTTGGAGGAGAGACTGCGTCGGTACGACGGCGTTTTCCTCGGACTACCTTTTGAGGCAGAGACGTCGGGTGCCAACGTTTGCGTTCTGCAGCATACCCCGCAATCGAGCTCAGCTCGTGCGGAATCTAGTCCTCCCCCTGCGCTGTTTGCCGTTGCCCGTGGTGCGGGGCAGAGTGGGGCAGCGCGAGGAGCGTCCACGGCGCGCCTGCTCTGTTGGCCTCGGAATGGGAGGGGGGCGTTTGGGGCCCCGCTGGTGGGGAGTCCAGATCTTTCGTTGTTTCACCTGCGGATGCCGCTGCCCAGAGCATATAGTACATGCCGTTTCTGAAGAGAGAGAGTGCGCAGAGGCCAAAGCACCTTCGGCCCTCCGAAGGCGGGCCACCGAGCTGTTTTTGTTTTGCGGTCGGACGACGACGCGCATGCCCATGAGGCGTTCCAGGCATGGCATCGTCTTGTAGGACTCGGCGGGATGACATGGGAGCTGGGCGGGGGGTGGGAGGGGCGGGCGAGCACAATTCTTATCCACTCTCGGGCTGAGCCTGCCTTTGAGCATGACACGTTGGAGAAAAAAAACAAAAAAAGACGATCCAAGGACTCTAGGACCTGGGTACTTCAAGATCCTCATGCACTAAGACCTTATGGACCTAAGACGCTGAGACCTTAGGACTTTCAAACCCACGGACCCCCTGTTTTGTCCAGACGATTGTTGCGTCGTGTTCTTTGTTGTGTTGTAAGGTGTTGTGTTGTGTTGTGTTGTGTTGTGAGGTGCTGTGTTATGTTGTGCTGTGTTGTGGTGTGAGCTGTCGTGCTTCGTGGCGTCGTGAGTCGTTTTCGTGCGTTCATTCTGCTTTCAATGCTGGCAAGAACATGGGAACCCACAGCACAACATAACAGCATCAGGGCATTACAACAGCACACACGCCAAATCATGAAACGGAGGAAAGGATGATGCCGATAGTGGTCTGGGAGCTCACGAAACCTGAGCAGGCGTTTTTTGTTGTTTTGCTTCTGCTTACGCTTTGTGATGCTTTCTTTTTGTTTTATATTGTTTCCTGGTTTCGGGGCCTACGGAATCTTGCCAGGCGTTGGTTTTTATGTTCTTTCTTAGTCTGAGGGCTCACGAAACCTTGCCAGGCAGTGTTTTTTCTGGTTTGTTTTGGTCTTGGGGCTCACGAGACCTCGCCTGGGGGCTCACGAGACCCCACTTGCCCCTCTTGGGCAAGTGGGGCAGGTAGGACCAAGTGGCCCGCCTCGATTCCTGGACGTCCACGTTCGGGCCCGCGCGGGCGGGCGCGGCAAGTGGGACAAGTGGGGCAAGTGGGGCAAGTGGGGCAAGTGGGGCGTATCTCAAATGGCAGCGCGCCCCGCGATTGGGGTCGCTTCCTTCTCGCACGGGTGCCTGACCCCCCCTCCCCCCCTTGAGCACCTGTCGGGGGCGTCTCGGGATGTCCTGGGCTGCCGGGATCCTGACAAGGCGAGAAAGCGAAGAGAGCTCACCGTTGACCGGCCTTTGACGTCTTGACACTCTCCTGGACCTGTCTTGCGCTGTCTTGCTGCGCGTGACCCGTCTCCAGGCTCCGGGCCTCCTGGATCGTCTTTGGGGCCTTCCTTCGCGAGGCCCTCTTCGGCGGTCTGCGCTTTCTTTGGCCTGGGTACAAGCCACTCCGGGCGCCTCCTCCTCGCCATCTCCCCGAGTTCCCTCCGCCCCCCAGGGCCGTAACACCCTTACGCCTCAGGAGCTCAAGACCCTGGGGCCCTAAGACTCAAAAACCTCAGGAGCCTAAGATCTGATGACTCTGGACCGTCAGATCCAAGGGCTCTAAGGACTTGAATATTTCAAGACCATCATACTTTAAGGCTTTATGACCCCCCTAAGACTTTTTGTTTTGCCCAGACGATTGCTTTGCCGTGTTCTTTGTTGTGTGTATAATGTTGTGTTGTGTTGCGCAGTGTTGTCGCCGCGCAACGATGACGCGGTGGCGACCCTAGCGCGGGCGTTCAAGGTGAAACGCCGCCAGTGGCTCACAATCGGCCGACATCGAAGCATCTGCACAATCGGGAGGCCGTGATCGTTCAAGACTGAACGATCCACGCGGCGTTAAAAACCAGCGCCGACGCCATCGCGACGTCAACCCGCCGTATACTTACGTTACCAGAGGGCGTCGACTGTGCAAACTTACCGATCCTGGCCGGGCAGATCCCGGGCTCGGGATCGTGCCGCAAAACCATGAGGCTTTGGGCTGTAAAGTCCGCGCTTAGGGGTTTGGGGAGGCCCAGGGAGGCCAGGAGTGATTCCTGTAGGTGGGGGGGGGGCGTGGGGATATAGGAAAATATTATCATTATTTCTGTCTCAGCTTCCTATCCCTCTCCCTCTCCTTCTCCTTTATCCTCCCTCTCGCTCCTCCCTTCTCTCCTTGCCCCTTGCCTTGAAGGCTTTCATGTAATGCGAAAGTAGAACTGCTTCAGCCTTGAAGGGCCTTCGGCCATGCGGAATGATGTTCGAACGTAATGTGGGGTAAGTTCGACCCCGCCGACGTTGGAGTTGCCCCCTGCGAGGGCGGAAGTTTCTAAAGTCGTTCCCTCCCTTGTGGGCTGTTTGGAAAGAGTTGGCATTGCACGGTCCCTGATGATATTTCTACTGGGGGTCGGTGCATCACAGCATTGTGCATGAGCATGTTCCTGGCCGTATTGAGTTGCCCCACCACAACCGACATCGTCGTGGCCGTCGTCATCGTAAGGGCGATTGTTGGCATAATGCTCACAAAACAATGTTCGACGCAACTCGATCCTTCGTCCGCAGCCATTTTGGCCCACATGAGTTCAGACTCAGAGGTGCTGTGCCCGCACCCGACTTCGTCGCCTGAGCTTCTCCAGCCCAGTCGAGCAAAGCGCGCGAGGAGGCAATGTATCTTACGAGACCATGGCCCTCGGTTTGCAGTTGCTATTTTAGGGGATTGCGGCAAGCCTGAGCCATCGGATTCAGATACTCTGTATGATGTGCACAATGGGCTCTTCCAGGATCCGCTGCCAGCGTCTGATGATAAATATTTGTTGGGCGTCGTTGTTTCAAACTGGAGGTTCTCAGAGTCGACGTCGGAGTTGAGTGATGCGCGTAACCTTGTCAGATCAGATTTGTGGCGGCGCAGGTACTGCAATCACGCAGGCCTGCTCGAATATCCGTACATTGAGGGTCTTGCCAGCCCAGCACCGCAACTATTGCCTGCTTCAGCGGGTCGTGTGAGCCTTGGACAGGTACAACGGGCGATTCGTCGTGAAGTTGGCCTTCCCGCGTTCTTGCAGAGGGTCGGTTTGCCAGTGTCAGAGATCCTTATTACATCAGTGGTACTAGGTCGTTGTATCGTTTCAGGGCTTACTGACGAGTGCTGCATCGTCCCACTCTCAATGCGCAATAGAAGTGTGATCTTCCCTTTTACATCGAAGCCCAGCCGAGCGGACATCGCATCGTATTTGTCTCGCAGTAAAGGATGCGAACATGAAGCTTCAGCGTCGGATTCGGCACCAGATGACTGGAGGGACGTTGCCGAATTTGGCAACGGCGATCGTCGCACAACCCAGTCGTCGATGCATATGTTACGCTTCATTCGGTGCACGGCATTTTTTGAGAAAGTTCAAGGACTTGGAGAAGCAGAGCGAAGCTACGTTCAAAGCTCATTACCCGCGCGTCTACGAGGACATGCTCGCTGAGTTGTTCAACAACGGGTTCTCTTATCCCAGCAGAGCGC